ACCTGCAACTACAACTTGGATCTGCGATTTCCTTCAGTTAGAACAAAAGTCTGCCAAGTCCACTGTCAGAAATACTAAAATGTTCTGTCGCAACAGCCTTAAACGAAAGATAAGCTTGAAAAACAATGACTTGAAAAGTGCCAAAATGTTTACTGGACGAGCGTTTTTAATAGTTCTTTTTTTTTTAGGCATCATTGCTTCACGATACCACTTAAAGAACCAAATATTCACTTTACAGGAACGGTGACTGCCCCGCTAATGCTATATTCAATATTTGGTTAAAAAATCCACACAGTTGTTGAACGATTAAATTATGAATTCAAAACCGATGCAACTGCAGTTAAACCAAATAAGACTGCCATACTTTTTGTTTATTATTTTTGCGTTTTTGAAAGGTCATTAACAGACAGTAATTGTAACTAAAACTGACAGTAATAAAAGAAACTGTCAATATAAAGTTAAGAAGTATTTTGTTGCCAGTACCAGTAAAAAAAAAAAAAAAAAATAGCAAGGTAAAGAAAGAATAAATTTTTTATTAATAAAATCATCGAATGTTAAGCTGTCAAGCAAAATACAACGAATGATGGTCACATATGATAAAACTCAACAACAATACCATTACTAATTTGCATGATTTTTTAACTGAGTTTTTTTTTTCAATTTAACAACAAATAACGACAACAGAAGTGTATCGATACGTCTCTGTTTTTTTTTTTTCTAATATTAAATATTTTGCAGAAAGTAACAACAAAAGCAAAAAATAAACTGTCAATTAGATAAATTAAATTTTGACATTGATTTCAAATGAATTACTTCGAACAACATGCACCAAAGAAAAAAAAAAAAGCATCATGTCCAAATACAGTAGCATCAACCAGACTACAATACCATCATCGTTGATACATAACTGGTTCAGCTACTGTTAAATTATTAGTAACACAAAAAAAAAAATGAAAGTAACATCAGTAGCAGACGAAAGAGTGACAACAACAACGACAACAACAACAATAACAACACAACGATAATACAACAGAATGCTACCATTGTTTCAACGTTTGTACGAATCTTTGTAACAACTAGCAAAGTGTATATAACAAACTGTATTTGTATTTGCACACAATTATCCATCATTAGTTTTTGAATCAATAAATTGGAAAAAAGTGATCCCCATTCGTCTTAAATACTGTTCAATAAAGCAAAAAAAAAAAAAAAAAAAAAAAAAAAAAAA